ATGCGCCCGCGTGCCCAGCGCGCTCGACCTAGCCAGCGCTGTCCCCGCTCGCGTCCGCTCGACCGCGTCCGCGCTGTCCCCACCGTCTGCCGCCGTCGTTCCGGCGCCGGCAACCCAAACCGGGTCAGGTCGGGTCCGGGTTCGATTTTTCGACCCGTTTGTCTACCCGGGTCGGGTTATGGTCGACCCGTTTGAACCCGGGTCAGTTCCGGGTTCGACCCGAACCCGACCCGTGACCCGAAATTGACACCCCTACGTATTTCATAGGAGAGGAAAAAAAATAAGATTAGTTCGTGTTTTGTTTTGGACAACTTTCTTATTGTTTTTTAAAACGACTTTTTAGTACAAAAATTTCTTGAATTAAAATTATTTGTGCTAGAAAGCAGCTTTATAAATAAGAAAAAAAAAAAGCTTCCAAACAAAGCACAAAGAAAGTTGTCTCAAAGGAAGCTTAAGAGTATGTTTGAGACAACTATAGCTTTTTATAAAATTGATTGTAAAGAAGTTGTTGATTGTAAAGAAGTTGTGGAGCAAATAACTTTTTTGAAAGTAGTTATAAAAAGTAGATTCTTAGTACATAAAATATTTCAAGCAACGTGTAAATAAATGCAAAATATAATTATAATTGTGATTTAAAATATAAAACGGTAAGAAAATTATCTCAAATAAATCCTAAATCTATTATAAAAGAATTTGTATCGAAACTTTATGAAATATTTTTTGTCATTGGTAATATAGACAAAGTCATAGGTTAACTGAGTCTAATTTCAGGATATATGGAAACCAGCAATCGAAACAATTATATAATATATTTGATTTAAAACATTATCTGTCAAAAGGAATATGTTGAATGTAAGACCAGATTAAATAATCTGAATTAGTAAACTTTATTATTCCAATAAGATGAAAATTATAATAAGAATCTTTTAGAACTTCTAGTAGGGGTGTCAAAATCGGGTTGCGGTTTCGGGTTCGATAGACCCGACACTATTTGACATGACCCGAACTCGACCCATTTTAATAAACGGGTCATAAAATTCAATTCGAACCCAACCCGTCCAGTTTCCGGGTTGACCCAACCCGACACAAAATGCGTTATGGCCGAAGAAGCACGTGAATGGGAGGAACTCCGTTGAACTATCGAAGGAGGCAACTCGTCTCTTTGATGCCGCAAGACAGGAAGGAATGTGAAGCCGAAGAAGAGGAAAAGCAAACCTTATTATGAACAGACCAACCTTTGGTGGTGCAAAGCTAGACTAAGGTTTCAGTGGTGGTGGTGCAGTGCTGACTGCAGAGCTAGCCTAGGTTTAGGACTTCGAACTGAGAGCTGGCAGCGGGGCGGCGAGTCTATAGGACGATGGGAGAGGAGGACGGCGAGGCCGCGTTGACTCGCGAGTGCGAGCAAGAATCGGGATTTCGCTCACAGCAGGAGTTAGTGTCGGGTAGATTCCGAGTCATTCTCGAGTTTTCTGGTCAACTCAAATCCGACCCGATTTTTAAAATAGGTTAGTTTGTTGAACCTAAACTCGGTCAATTTAACAAATAGGTTGACCATAACCCAATTTTATTGATCGAGTTTTCAGGTCGTATCAAATATTAACACCCCTAACTTGTAGCATAAGGTGTTCTTAAATCAAGAGTTATAAGCAGAATACTGTCAAGAGAATATATTATATCAATTTTGGATCTCTAACAGTGGAATTTTATAAATTTTGGTTGCATCCCAGAAATTTGGCAAGTTCAATGATCCATTTTATAAAGCTGTAATTTTTTTTTTGTAAAAATTGTTAAAAATTTATTGCAAAGAAATTATTATTTTTAAATTATAGTGAGCATTTTATAAATATTTTATTTTCTTAAGATAATACATTTTTTTATAATTATCATACTCTAATAAATATTATTCTTAGAAGCAACCTTTTAATTATGAAAAGAAATAAAAAAAAAATAGTAGCTAAATAAATATATAAGAATAATTAAAAAAAAAATAACAACGATGAAGTGAATAATTTTTTTTTTTAATTGCATTACATCCTTTTCTACTAATTCTAAAATTATGATGCTCATAAATGAACTCAAATGAACAATTGCTCTGTGAACTGACATAGCAATCAAAGCCTCAATTTGTTCTTTAAGATTATAATTTGAATAGTTCAGCATTAGTAGTTTCTTCCTTTCCATCATAAAGCTTAACATAATGATTCAGGTTTTGATGTTTGCAGCATAAAGCTGGAAATAATTCACTTGTTTTCATAAGTCGTTTGAGAAATGAACAGCTATTAGCTTCATGCTTTTTCTTCTTTTTGGAACGGCTGTTTACCCGGCCCGCTGCCACTCCAAAGAGAGCGTTTAGCGGCGTAACTAATCCATCGGCGGAACCTAGCGAAGACACCCACCGGCATCGAGCCCACACTTGCTTTGCTCCACTTAAGTGACGAGGCTATAGTAGGGGAGATTCAAACATGGGATGGGGGGTTTCCAACCGTGCTCATCTACCAACCACCCTACGCCTCGGTGAATACCGTTAGCTTGCTTAGGTAAACGATTATCGTAAGTGCAGGTGAATTTGCTCATTCACTTTCTTAGTTTTGAAGTGGTCTCAGACAGAAATGGACAATTATTCAGCAAAATAAATTGAAATCTAAGCTCATTTGAGAGCGCTTTCCAATGGCAACCTCTCTTCAAATACTCTCTTCCTTGCCAATACTGCCTGCAACATAAACCATAGAAGTTGCCGAGTACTTAAGATTTTAAAGACCATTAACGGCTAATAAAATGAGAAATGAACATACTTGTTGTTGCCAATTGGTAAAAGTTGTTATTACTCCAAGAAGAATGGTTTGAATCGTAGCACCTGATAATATACCAATCCATAGACCTTTGCCTCCAATGCGGAGGAGAAAACCCAACACAACAGCGATTGGAATTCCGGCGAGATAGAATGCTCCAAGGTTAACACAGGCTCCTATCTTCTGCCTTCCACATCCGCGAGCGATTCCTGCATAGGCAGCCATGATTCTCCTCGAATGCTTCACCATAGATGGCTATGGGGAAGAAGATAAGAAGATAATTACCGGACATCACTGATTGGCAGCTATCCATGATAACTGAGATGGATACAAGAGGAACCATCTCCCTGACATAATCGATAACCTCATCTTCATTACTGTACGCATAGCCAATGACTCGACGAAGGCCAAATATTGTTACACTCACCACCAGTGCCTCCATAATTGCAATCGATATCACCACACGAACAGCCAAATGAGCTCCATCAGGATTCCCAGCTCCTAGTTCATTTGATACACGAGTACTATATACACAAAGTTTATCAATTTCTATAGCTGAAATTGGATAGAATCTTATCATGTTGAATATGTGAAACTATATATGAATGATCCATGGGCGGATCCACCTTAAGGCCAAGCCCCCAAAAAAAAATAAAAAAAAAAATCCTTATTATATGATTCTTTAGGTAATTCATTCCTCTCCATGTATTTTTAGTCTTTATTATAAGATTTTTTAGGCAACCCCGCAGGAGCACTGCCTCTTGACCCCGCGATCTGATCGGACAAGTCGAAACCCGTCAGAGGGCGCTGCCCCCTTGGACCCCTGACATACCTACAGAGCATTCAACGATGAACAAATAGGGGTCGAGAGGGAGTGCCCTCGGAACAAATTTTGATTGTAAGAATATTTATGAAAAAAAAAACTCTATACTTTTACTTATAAATTTGTCCCCTGAAAATTAAGGTTGAATCCGCCCCTGAAATGATCATACCTTGCTGCACAACCAATGCCATAAGATATAGTGTTGATGAGTGCAATAGTTGTAAGACTGCAAAAGATAAGATATTTTGTTGAGGCAAATACTTGATTCTAATTCATTTCTTATGAATGAATTGTTGGATACATACCTAATAGAAAGGACTGATGTTTCAAGTCTTGGATTTGGTAGGAGACCTGAGAGCAAGACAAGTAGCTCGAATGACCACCATTCAAGGCTTTGATCCACCCAATTAGCCATTCAAAAAGAAACTTCCAAGTGAAATTAAGAACAAAAAAGAAGAAGAAGTTATTGATCGATCTATATTACCATATCATGACTGCAGAGGGAATTGCCAGTCTTAGGAACTCATTGACACCTCTGAAAGCCTCCATTGACGGTGGCAAACGAGTTGCTTTGCAAGAATCTGAGTACTTAATGTATAACACAAGAATCAACACATTTATCCAATGAGAAATGCTTATAGAAAGGGCCGCCCCGACATTGCCCAATCCAGTTTTGAATACCAGGATCCAACACAAAGGAATGTGGATGCTAAGGGTTGTAACTGAGCTCAAAAGCATCGGAAGAATTAGGTTTTGAGATTGAAGAAACCTCATAAGAGGCTGAGCGGTACCGTAGGCGAAGAGGCCAGGGATCATCCACATTGCATATTTACCAGCCTCTTGCGAGATTGAGGGGTCTTGACCTAGGAGAGAGAGAAGCTTTCCCATGGAGGCCCAGATAAGAGAAATAGGGATGCAGACGAGTATGAGGGAGAAGATGGCTCTGTATGTGTGGATTCCTAGTTTCTTGTATTGTCGTGCACCATAAGCTTGGCCACAAAGAGTATCCAAGCCACTAGCCATTCCTACCTGCCAAATTTGGAAGAACAATCAATTAGATTACATTCAGATTGAATAAAACTTAGGGAAAAAAAAAAGGTTATGTTTGTTTTAATAATTTTTTACTTTGTTTGGACTAATGCATGAAAATAAACAAGTTATGTTAATTTTTTATAAAATTTTGCTTAATTTTGAATTTTATGTAATAAGGTATTCTTTTCTTTCGAGGTGTAAACGAGTCGAATAGAGCTCGAGTCACCTTTGATTTGAACTTAAACTTGATTAATTAATCGAGTTTGAGCTCGAGATTGAACTTGATGCTACGAGTTTGAGTCAACACATGAACCAACTCATTTACTATAAAAGAGAGAAGATCATATTTATTCAAGTTATTTTTATAATAATGAAATAAAAATAATAAAAGAATTAAAATAGAAATAATATAAATCATTTTGATATGTCATCAAAAAATTATCTTGATTGGGCACGAATCTTGATGCAAAATCAAGTTGGAAACTTTCGAAATTAAAATTGGGACTATCCGAACTTCGATTTCAGCAAATTTATAGTCGAACTGAGTGTCTCGAGAATACGAACCCAACGACACCAAATTTAACCCATTCCGTACCCAAACGGGTCCAAATCAAGGGTTAGAAGCGTCGTTGGAAGATTCGAACCACAATTTGGATTGCTAAACGGATTTCAAACATAACGTGCTTATAGTCGAATCGAGCGGCTCGACGAGAAGAATCCAACGAGCCCAATATCACTAAATTCCGACGTCAATAGAATGTTCAAATGTCCATCAAACGGTCCATGATTAGGGGATTCAACATCGGCTGTCCATCCAACCACTCATCATTTACCCTTGATCTCTCACCAATTTACGGGCAATGCCACTCCAAAAATCTATAAATATACCCCTCATTTCTCTTAAAAAGGGACAAAAGCAAGAAGAGAAGAAGAGAAGATGAGAAGAAGAAGAGAAGAGAAGAGAAAGAAGAAGCTTCTCCTCGACCACCGCCGGAGTTTCTCCAGACCACCGCCGGAGTTTCGCCGGACCACCACCTGAGGCCCTCACCTTTGCTGGACAACCACCTGAGGCCCTCACATTTGCCGCACCACCACCTGAACTCCTTCGCCGGACCACCACCTAAGGCCTTCACCTTCGCCGGACCACCACTTGAGGGCCTCGCCTTCACCGGACCACCACCTGAGGCCCTCACCTTCACTGGACCACCATTTGAGGCCCTCACTTTCGCCGAGCAACCACCAAAAGCCCTGTGCTCCGCCGGACAACCACCTGACGCCCTGTGCTCTGCCAGACCTCCACCTGACGCCCAAAGTTCTGTCATACCACCACTTGAGGCCTGAAGTTCTGCCAGACCATCACCTGACACTCGAATTTATGTCGTACAGTTGATACTTGTAATCTGATCGCCCTTGGAGGCGAGTCAGCCCATTGTAACCAACTCAAGTTCTAGTGGAATCTTTTTCAACTGGATCAGGCCCCGTGATTTTTCCTTTTTTTTAGGGCTTTCCATGTAAAAATAGCTGACGTCCGGGAGCAAAAGCAATCCTAATATGTAAGCACTTGCGTACACATAGTCTGACACGAGAGCTTGTGTGTAATATATTTTAATTATTTTTTAAATTTAATATTTTAAATAAACCATAATTAGCTCAAATTAAACTCATAATTCATCAAAATTGACTCTAGAAAGTATTTATAAAGTAATACAAGAACATAATCAATTACCCCCTGTTTCTCCTATTCAAGAAGAGAGATCATGACCAGGTTTTGATAAAACAAATGGCAGCCACGCTTTCTCCTTTTCCCGTAGCCTTCCACTTTCATAATAATCATTTAAATATAAATCCAATAAATAAAGTTCCAAATTCGAAAATGTAGCTATTTGTGAAATCTGAATGTGTCAATCAATCAGATTATATTATTGACTCATAGATCAATTTCACCGATAAAATTCGACCAAGAGCTCATTGGGGGTAGTGCACCCTTTGTTTGGAGTTTCAGGGCAAAGTCCACAAGAGAAAAAAATTAATTTGTAAAGGGTCGCAACTATTTATGAACTCAGTGTCCTTGCGATGTAGGTTCAACACAACAATGTTGCAGAGGTATTTTGAAATAGTTGAGTCATCTAGTCCGCATTGAGGTATTGTGCGTGCAACGCTGCGGCTCGGTCTTATCAGTTTTATCTTCATTTCTAAGAATTGTAGTCAAAATTGAAGGGTATATAACTTGTGAGAAACTCTTGTATTGGCGTCTAAAGATGGAAATGAGTGTGAAGTGAAGATGTGTATGCTTTCTTTTATTTTTCATAATGAATTTCTTGTCGTTGTGTAGTTATGTAATTTTTTCTCTTTTTTAAATTTTTTCACATTAAATCCTGATATATTTCACCGTTATTTTCCTTTTGCTTGTTTATTTGAGTCTTGGTTTACTTCCCACTATAAATAATATATTTCACTCAGATATTCGTCAAAGAAGAAGCCATAAACTATGGGTGTCAATTTCGGGTCACGAGTTAGGTTCGAGTCGAATCCAGAATTGTCCTCACACTATTTGGGTCAATCCGACCCGTTTTTTCAAATGGGTTGATTTTTCGAATCCGAACCCAACCCACTTCGGATCCAGATCTACCCAACATGACCAGAATAACACGGGGCAGACCAAAAATTGCTAATTTTTTTGTCAAATGGGTCAATTTCCGATTTTCGGGTCAAAAATTGGGTTTCCGGGTCAAACATGTCAATTTCGAGTTCCCGTTCAACTCGAGCCAGACTCGATTTTCAAAATGGTTGATTTGTCGAACCCAAACCAGATCCGTTTTGGATCTGGGTTTACCCTAACCCAGAATTTTCAGGTCGGATTCGAGTCAGGTTTTCGAGTTGTGTCAATTGTCAAATATTGACACCCCTACCATACACATACGTATAGCTTAGGAAATAATATTATAATATTATTTATTAGCAATCCCGAATACAAATATTAATTTCTAAATAATAATATTATAATTTATTTTTTAAAATATGTTAAATAAATTTACAATTTTAATGACGCCTTGAAATCATAAAAAACATAAAATTTTCGATCAAAGAGGATTATTATTTATTTTCATATGTAATAACTAAAATTTTCTATTTATTTATATAACATTCTCAATTATAAATGTAACAATTATAAAAATTAAAATATTACATGCATAAATAGATAAGAACCTTGTGGCATATATGTAAATCCCCCAATTAAGTTTTCTCTACCATCATAAAGATACTCAAAGGAAAACGGAATAATACGAGGTCGGGAAGCGAAGGAAGTAAACTTACAAGGAGACTGAAGCCGGTGACGCCGGAGAGAGAGGTGGCAATGGCGGAGCTAGAGAGCGCGAGGTCGCCGAGATGGCCGACGATCATCGAGGAGGTGACCTGAATCATGTACTGCGATAGGCTCACCCCTACCATCGGCCCAGCGAGGTAACCCAACCTCCGCGCCTCAGCTGTAACATCACCGCAGCATCCCCTCACCGATCTCTCATCCTCCCTCTCCAAAAGCCTTTGCTCCATTCCCAATATCTGCTTCTTAGCTTCTTCTGGCCTTCACTTTCAGTGTCTTATGAAATAATAATGGGGATATGCTGTGGCGCTGGACCATGATAGTGGAACATGGATGGTGACGGTGAACAAAATTAATTATAATGAGCCTTTTCTTTTGAATATTCTACGTTGGTACAATCGTTCCAACTCTGTCCAACAAAGAATTCGTATAAATAAATTCGTAGAAATAATGACATTATAATTTAAATATTTTTTTATGTTGTATTATAATATTCTTATAGAGTTAATAATACTAGTTGTTGTGGGCTAATATATTCATGACGCTAGAGTGATAGAATATTTTGTCCTTATAATGCATGAATATCTAGCACATAAATAGATACTTGAGAAAGCAAAGAATTATTATAACTTTTTTACACGAAAAATTCAAAAAGGAAAATTTCACGGGGACTTACTCTATAAGAAGATTCCACAATACTTGAATAAGTTACAAAGTTTGACCCATCCCTTAACACGAAGACGATGAAATTACAATAATTTGGAGAGTTTGTCGAACTTTTTATAATGATTCAAGGGCTTGTAATGACAATGGTTATACGACGAAAGTTGAGAGTCAGGTAACAACGGCCGGAAGAAAATCCAACAGGTGGTGGTTGCCGGGAAGAGGCCCGGTGGCAATTAGCAGCATGAAGGAGGTCCAATATCGATCAGTGGTCGAGTGATGGTCTAGCTGCAGTAGGAAATCGGGAGGATGTTTAACTTCAGTCGAAGACCGAGTGAAGGTCTGGAGGTCCGGCGACAGTCAACGGTTGGGTGGAGATTCGATTACAGTCAACTGTCAGGCAGCGGTCAGGTAGTGGGCAACGTCCGGGTGGTGAAATTGAGGAGATCGGCTGCCAGGAGGTGGTCTGGAGGCGATCAGTGGCCGAGTGGAGGACCGACGATGGTAGACAGCTAGGAGGAGATCCGACGACAGTTGCATGCCAGGAGGTGGTTCGGGCAGATTCCCGGTCAGAGGTCGACCAACGGTCAAGTCGGCCTACAGAAGTTTGCTTGCATTTGTGCTTAAGTGGAGCTCTAGATCCTTAATGCCTCAAAGCTCTCTGCAAAAGGTCAGTGGAGATCTATTTAAAGATTTTGAGAGCACCATTGTAACGCCCAAAAATCTAATTTGATTTTTTTTTTCTTTTATCGTTTATTATATAACAACTAGAGTTGTCTAATTTCATCTATTAGTAACAAACAATAGAAACAAATTCTATAAATAAAATTATCAAACACATATATATTTATTGATCAAAAAATAAATCATATACAATACGCTGGAATCTTATAATCACAATATATTCTTTCATTTCTGAGTACAAAAGCATAACTAAAAAAAATAGAACCTAAAGAATCTTGATAAATCTCACACTCTAACTCTCTTGTCATGACTTGAAATTATTTATAATGAGTTCAAGACCCAGCAACTAACCAAATCATACAACTAAACACAATGCACATTAAAGAAATAAAATGTATGTCAGCAGTCAAATCAGAACAACAATAATCAATGCAAAAATAATAAAGCTCACACTTAGTAGGATAGAATCTATAAATAGTAAATTATTATGATATAGAAGCTAATAAAATATTATAGTGGTGAAATTAGTAAACTAGTAAGGAGTGTCGAGTCAATGAAGTAATCATACTACCACCCAATAAATCAATCATATAAAACGGTAAAATCAAAGCATTAGTAAACCACTATCAAACTCATATCAATAAAGTAAAATTCTATAATTATGTGCACATGCTATCCAATATGTCACATGCTTAGTACATTTAATATCAATACAATTCGGGTTTGTTTGGGATGGCTATACTTTTTTATAAAATTAGTTGTAAAATTATTTATGGGGAAAATAATTTAACTATTCTGGTTGTAAAAAAATAATTTTCTAACATAGAAATATTTTTAAAATCATAGCCAAATAAAATTATGATTGACATCTAAAAAATAAAACAGCTATAAAGCAATCCCAAGCAAACCCTAATTTTTTTAAAATTGTTATAGGCATTATAATTGCTTTTTCTAAAGTCTGATAATAACTTTTTTATGACTATCATACTCTAATAAATTTAATTCTCAAAAGCAGCTTCCTAATTACGAAAAGCAACAAAAAAATAGCAGCCAATTAGATATGTAGCAGCAATCTAAAACATAAAATTTTGAGTAATTAGCCCCAATAGTGAGTGTCCAAACCCAATTCATCAGGCTTCTTAAATCTTTTTTCAACCAATATAAAATGATTCAGTTTGGGAAATACGCAGCTCTCCTAGGTATGTTGGTTAGGTGCTTTGGCTACCAACTAAGAGGTATTGTATTTGAGTCATACATATGCGTTGTGTGTATGAGCATGACGCTTTCTCTTAATTCTCCCAAAAAAATTCAGATTGTGAAATTTTCATAATTTTTATGAATCAGAGCAATTCACTAGGGTTGTCAAAATCAGGTCACGGGTCGAACTAGGAACTGACTTGATACTAGTTGACCCAACCCAAACTCAAGCCATTTTTGCAAATGGTTAGATTTAAACGAGAATTTGGCTTTTAATAGGACACAATGGAGAAAAAGGATTCATGTAGCCGACCCCACGTAGTGGGATAAAGGCTTGATGTTGTTGTTGTTGTTGTTGGTCAAGTATTTCAACATGGATCAGACTCGCGCGGGTTGCTGGGCTGACCCAACCAGCGGACACGTTTTGAAGGAGGCGTTGGACGGCGGATAGCAGACAGCGGATGGCGGACAGTGACGGCACATGCGAGGTGAGGCGTCACAGCGATGGCGTCTTACGAGCTCTTTTTTAAGGAGGCGTTGGAGGCGGACGACGCTGGTGGGTGACAGTGAGGCAACGACGGGACGTCACTCGACTGAGAAACTCGATAGTGGCAGGCGGGGTGATGGCATGACACAACTGCGACTCAACATCATACATTTTTACAAACGGGTTAAACTGAATTGAGTTCAGGTTTTTGGGTCAACCCGAACCAAACAAATATATAGGTTGAATCTAGGAACCTGAACCCGACCAATTTCAAAATCTGGTTGGATTCTAATCGAATTTTCGTGTCGTGTCAAATATTGACACCCCTATCATTCACATTTAAATATTCAATCATAGTCATTAATTCTATTACTATTTATACTACTGTTACTCTTTTATTAAAAAAAAAAATTTGTGATACGATTCATTTGTGTTGTATCAATAATTTGCCCTAATCAACGTCTCTTCTTAAAAACTATGACTAGTATTGGTCTATTTTATAAAATATGTTGAAGAAAGGACAAATTTATTTATTTATTTTTTTTTTGGGAAATGGACAAATTTTATTAGTAGATAATCACTTATCACCGTATAGCGACTGCTTGTTGGCACGGAGAATGTTGATTTTTTTTTAACTATAATAAATTAAATAATTATATATAGGCAGATTCAACTGTAGAAATTTAATTTTAAATATCTGAATAATTAAGGAAATTTTATTATATTTTAGGTAAGAGATATAAATTATGAGAAATAAATTAAAGATATAATTTTTCTCACTTGAGTATTGCTTTAATATCAATTGTGACATCTCATAATCTAATTTGGAAGCACTATTTTTTTATCTTTTAAGAAACAACAAGTAAAATTATCTAATTTCTTTTATCAAGATAAATAAGAGCAAAAATAAAACTATCAATCAAATATCAATATATACATATATATTCATTTCCCAAAAATCATGTACACTACTTAGGATCTATACAATCATAATATATTTATCTTGTACTGAGTATAAAGAATAATTAAAATAATAAGAAAATGAACTTGAAAGATCATGATCAATCTCACACTCATTCTCTCTTTCTCTGACCTAAAATCATTTAATCACATATAATGAGCTCAAGAGCCGCGCAAATAACTAAATCCTACAACTGAATTCAAAACAAGATAAATAAGCAATATGCATTTCATCAATCAATTCATAATAAAAATAGTTGTCGAATCCATAAAATAGTCGTCGTATTAGTATTATTAAACAGTGACATTTAGTAAATGAATTTTATAGATCGATAAAACTAAAGAATAGGTAAAGACTTTCGTAAATCATATCAATACAGTAAAGATGGAGCAAAAAATATCAATGTGATAAACTAATAACACTAATCACATTCTATTCTATATTTGTATCAGTGCAATATTGTAATAACATGCAAAGTACTTCATATAATCAGTCAATCAGTAAACAACACAGTGAATCAATAATAATAATAATAATAATAATATAGAATTAATAGCGTCAATATCAACATTGGTGACAATATCAATGCAGTAGAGTAAATCAACAAATGATGTTGTCGGTAATAGTATCGGTATTCATATCAATATTGGTAAACCCCTAATACTGACAGTAAATCCATATAATGAGAATAATTAATAAATAATAAACAGTAAAGCCGTGCAATAATAATGAATAAGTAATATGCATTTTAATAATTATATTAATCAAGTAAGAAGTCTTAACTTAAGCAGTATTTTCCAGTATTAATAATTCATAGTTAGTAATTGTTGGTTCAGTAAACAGAATCATCACTTTTTACATGTCGACACAGTAATAACTCTTTATAACTCTCAATCAACGAATTAGTAAAGGATAACACCAAACCACATTATTAAAAAAAAAAACTCGTTGATCCACAATCATATACATGTCAATCAATCTTCACCTACCGACAGTGAAACTAGCCTTTTTTCTTATTTTTCATACATATTAATATCACTTTTTTTTAACAATAATAATGTACATCTATTACTCAACGACATTTTTATATTCATTAGTAATGCTTGTATTAATAATATGCTTAAATAAAAATACTTACTTCTATTAAGTAAAATCATACATAATTCAATAACTTCCGTTTTACCAGATAAAATTTAGAAATGTTCTAGTCAAAATCTCCTTAATAATCAATACTATATCATATAAAATGATACACAATAAAATTTAAATAAATTTGAAAAAAAAAATACAATAGAATCAATTTAGGGGAGAATAAAATCATTAAAATCAAAATCTTTAAAAACTGAGATTGGAATCACCTACTTAATATGAACAATTACTGTAAAAGCGGCAAAGCGATCCGGAGATCAAAAATTCAAATTTATATTTTTCTCAAATGCGTTGCAATTCAAACATGAATTCAGATTTTTTCATTTTAAATTATTTTAAAATTTTCAAATTGTTACACTTGGTCTATTAGTTATATGTTTTGGCTACCAACAAGTGGTCGCCGGTGAGGCAGTCAATGGTGTCAACGGCGTGCAATGGTGACAGCGACAATGATCAATGGTGCCCAACAACATCAACAACTAATGATAAACATTGAACACTAACTACAATGGCTAGCAATGACAACATGCAGGCCGATGATGGCCAACAACAATCAATAGTAGCCGATTGCGACTAGCGACAATCATAAAGAACTTATTATAAATTAAAAATTACTCAAAACAATGATTTTCAAATACATCAAATTTTCACTAGATTATGCATTCCAAATAAATTAAAATTTTACTCTCTTTTTTTTACTTCTAATCAAACACCAATGTATTTAAAATCTTTATATTTGAAATACTTTATACCCCTCTTCCATCAAACCAAATAGCCCAACACAAAATTAATAATTTTTAAGCTCAACTTGATTTAAATTATATTAAAATAATTTATACTCTTTTGATACCTAACATTTTCTCCAGCTTTTTCTAAGCTAAAGAATTTCATCAGGCTCTAAACTAATCAAACAAAGGAATTAATGAGAAATATTAGGCACATGAATCTCTTAATTCTTCTATCTTCAATTCGCATCCCCTCTTCACCATTTAAAGGCGTCAAATTACATAGCATGTAGTTTCATACAGATATTTACACAACATTCTATATGGAGTACTATACAAAGCATGAATACATTATTAGAAAAGCCATTGATTTTCACATCATAATTTAACCTGTAAAATGATTTTTAAAAGAACCAACAGGCGTACATTTAAGCTTTATTTGGAATAATTTTTTATTATTTTTAAAATTAACTTTTTAGTATTTTTTTAATATTTTATAAAACAATACAAAAGATTTCAATAACAAAATGAATTAACTTTCTATTGGACATACCCAAAATCAAGGAGGCATTTGCCATAGATTTATCCCCAAAAAAAAAAATCAGGACATCCTCATCAAAAATTTTTTATCAAAATGTTTCAAAATGGAATATTATAAATAGGAGCATAGTATTAAAAAAAATTAAAAAAATAAGAGCATAGTATTAAAAAAATTAAAAAAATAAGAGCATAGTATTAAAAAAATTAAAAAAAAAAACAAACAAACAAACTAGCTGTACAGAATGATTCATTCCATTGAATGCATCAAATTGTTTGGCTTATTCAGACTAAGCCAAACAGTTTGACGTATTCAATGGAATGCACCAAACAGTTTGACACATTCAATGGAATGTGTCACTCTATTTGGCGAATACCATTAAATACGTCATACTATGGCTCATTGCTATAGAAATTTCGGACTTTAATTTAGTTGACTGAGGTGAATGTACCAAATGTTTTGACTAGTTTGTTTCTTTTTAATTTTTTTTAATATTTTGCTCATTTTCCTAATTTAAATTAACACCATACTCCTTTAAAAAAAAAATCCCATCTCAAATAGGTAAGATTTACTTTGAGATTATGCAATATAAATTTTAATGAATTACTCATATATATTACGCTCACCTCAAAATCAATAATCTTAAAACCCATCTAACTAATTTTTGATCAAACGATCAAAGTATCATGACCCAAAATTTCCTATGTTCAAATATAAGCAAATGAAAATGATAAAAAAAAACTCACAGAACATATTGAAAGTTCAAAACTCATTTCAGCACACTTTGCAAAGGCAAACTCTCTTCAAATGCCCTCTCCCTCGCCACTATTGCCTGCAAGATCAACCATAACATTTGAACACCATTGTAAAAAGTTATTAAAATAAGCTCATTAACCATACCTGTTGTTGCCAGTTAGTAAAAGTAGTTATTATTCCGAGAAGAAGGCTTTGAATCACAGCACCTGCTAATATACCAATCCACAGACCCTTACCTCCAATGTGGAAGAAAAAGCCTAACAAAACTGCGATTGGGATTCCAACGAGATAAAATGCTCCGAGATTCACATAGGCTCCAAGGTGCTGCCACCCACATCCGCGAGCGATTCCTGTCGTTCAAGTTTCAACAAGTTCAATTTTTTTGTTGTTTCTTAAAGCAGCTTTAAGAAGCAACAAGAAAGTCGTCGCAAACGAAGCCGTAATGCTTCTTTTTGAATGCTTCATAATATATTAGGAATAAGATTACCAGAGAGCACTCCAAGACAGCCATCGGAGATAACTGAGATAGAAACAAGAGGAGTCATCTGCCTAACATAATCCACAACCTCCTTCTCGTCGCTATAGGCATGGCCAACTAGCCGGCGAAGGCTGAAGAGAGTTAAACTGACCAAAACTGCCTCTGTAATTGTGATTGATGTGGCCACACGAACAGCCAGATGAGCTTGCTCTGGATTCCCAGCTCCTAGTTCGTTTGACACGCGTGTGCTATGAAGACAAAGTTATCAGATTTATATAGTTCAAATTTGATGAAGACAAGCAGATAAGAATAATCATACCTTGCAGCACAACCAAGTCCATATGGTATGGTGTAGAGCAAGGAAATGCTTGTGAGGCTGCATGAGAAAGAGATTTACAAGTGTGTTGTGGCAAAGTAATAATTTTGCTTCAGTTATTGTGAGTGAGTTGTACCGTACCATATAGAAAGAACAGAGGTTTCAAGCTTTGGATTTGGTAGGAGACCTGAGAGCAAGACAAGAAGCTCGAAGGACCACCATTCGAGGCTGTGATAGAGTAATTATTATCATTATAAAAGTGAGAGAACAGAAAGAACAATTTACACAGCTATTTTTGGATGAGTTAAAGGTCAGGTCCATATATAAAGATTCCCTGAAGACAAGTGGAGGAGAAGAGCAGAAAAGGAAATAAAGTAAAGTAAAATTTTTGGAATATTTGTGTATTATTCGAGCCTATTAAATACATGTATAGGATTGAATTGTTCAAAAAAGCTTAAAATTTTCATATATTTTATGAGTATGGAAAATATAACTATTTTAAATATCAAAAGCATACTAATTAGAGGTGTCAACAAAAAATCTTGCATGGTGCCAACTCAAAAAATCCATGTTCCAGTTGAAGCAATTAAATTTCGAGTGAGGTTCAGATTTAAAATCATGAACCAGTTAAATTTTGGGTCAAGTTTGACTTGAACCGAAACTCTAAATTGACTCGAATTGACCTAATTAATATTCAGGTTTGACATAAATGGGTTGTATTAAAACAAAAAATTAAATAAAATGAGTTAAATGTGTTGGATTTGAATTGAGTCAGATTTGGTCAAACATTTTAATCTATATAATAGTCGGATCGAACTCGGGTCAAGTTAGCTCCAGGTCAAACACAACCCAACTCGCTAAATTTAGCACCCCTAATAATAATCCTATTTTATATATTATATTCCCATACTTAAAGAGAAATGCTTCATCATTCTAATTTTAAAATGTAAACAAGGTATATTGACCCTTTTTTATTTCAAGTTCTAGAATAAAATCCATATATCAATGCCCATTTTTCACCAACCAAATGAAAAGAAAGAAAAGGTAGTAATCAATCTTACCATATCATTACTGCTGAGGGAATTGCTAGCCTCAAGAACTCATTAATGCCCCACAATGCCTCCATTGATAGCGGTGCACGAGTTGCATTGCAAGAATCTGAATATTTGATGTAAAATGCAAGAATCAAAACATTGATCCAATAGGAAATGCTTATAGAAAGTGCTGCTCCAACGTTGCCCAACCCTGTTTTGAACACCATGACCCAGCACAAAGGAATGTGGACGCAGAGGGTCACAAATGAGCTCAGAAGCATAGGAAGAATTAAGCTCTGAGATTGAAGAAATTTCATAAGAGGTTGGGCAATAGCAAAGGCGAAGAGGCCAGGGATCATCCATACTGCATAAATGCCAGCCTCTTGGGATATTAAGGGATCCTGGCCTATGAGTGAGAGAAGTTTCCCCATGGATGCCCAAATGAGAGAAATTGGGAGGCAGACTAATACAAGTGAGAGTATGGCTCTGTATGTGTGAATTCCAAGCTTCTTGTATTGTTTTGCACCATATGCTTGGCCACAGAGAGTATCCAAGCCACTAGCCATTCCTAGCTGCCATTATTGAAAAATAGATTGATGAGGTTTAGGATATATTGAAATAAAGTGCAAGCCTCTCTTTCATAGTTTATGAGCTATAAAACATTTATTAGAAATCTCAATCTTCATTCATAATGCAATTAGTTAGAAGTTTAGTGCTAAACCTTGCAGTAATGCAAAAAATTAGAAAAACATACAAGAAAATTCAAATTAAGGAACTTTGAAAAGTCTACCTTATATTTATAATAGACGCCACATTGCCGCATTCTAGCTAACCAATTAGGGCTGCAAGCGAACAAGCGTTTGATGAGCTACTCGTTGCTCGGTTCGATTAAAGCTCGTTTCTGATCATTTAACTAACTAAACAAACAAACTTGAACAACTTTTTAAATATTCGATCCTTATATAAGCAAGCTTGAACACTAATGTATTTGGTCCATTTATGTACACGAACAACATCATTTGAAGTTCGTGAACAAGCTCAATGTTAAGCTTGATAAGAAGCTCGATTCGTGTTCGATTCAGAACTCGTGAATAAGATTGATAAAAACTCGATTAATATTTAATTATAAAATGATAAATATACATAATATAAATATTTTAAATTTATTATAACATAATAATATAATGATTTTTAATTAATAAACTTTAAAGTAATAAAATATTATAATATATGTTAACTAAAATAAATTTTACATATTGATTAAATCGAACTTGTTAAGGCTAAATATGTTGTTTGCTAAATATGTTTGTTAAGGCTAAATTTTACATAGCTCGTTAAGGATAAATTTTACATCGCTCATTAAGGATAAATTTTACATATTAGTTTGTTTGTTCAATAGATTGTTTGCTAAATATGTTCACGAACATAGATCGTTAATGCTTGTTTTTTTAAAGCTCGATAAGCACTAAACGAACCGAACATTAACCAAACATGAACACCTTAAATTAAATGAATCAAACATAAACACAAACAATAAAGCTCGAATCAAATAAGAACCGACTTGAACAAGTTAATAATAAACAAACTCAAACATGAATACTAACATACTCGGTTCGGCTCGGTTCGTTTGCACCTATAACCAATGCATCTAAGAAGCATTGAACAAGAATAGGACACTTATTAGTGCCAAAGTCAATCCACTCATCAGTTAATCTCAGGTGGTCATCGACCTCACTTGGCCTGTTAAAAAAATGTTACTAGTTTGATATCAAAATGTCACTTCAGCTACCTTGAGCAAAGGAAACATGCATTTAAATTGTTGAAAATAATTAAGAATATTTTGGAAAAATTTTGAGTAAGGGCCGAACTATATTTAGGCATCATTATTCTTTATTTTTCACTACTCTGAATTAATCTGAATTAGGAGCGCTCTAGAATCTCAGATGGTGTGAGGCTTCGATTTCTTCTAGATCCACCAAGTGATGACCTTATTAGTTCCTAATTCACCAAATGTCAAACTTTGAACACGCCTTGCATGGCACCTTTCGTTGACACCAAAAATATGCCAACCAATATTGCTCGACTCCATTTTCAATTGCTATTTGTAAGCGTCCGACTCCCAATACTCACCAACACCAAGTGCCCACCAACCAACTTAGCAGATAACATACATCCACTAACTTCAACATAAACAGGAGCTAAGATCAGTTAAACCCAAATCTTTGTCGCCATTAATTACATTGGAACCAAAAAAACAAAGAAGGAATTTAGAAGTAAATCGAAATTTCATCAAACCAAACATATTTTATGTGAAATTACGATGCCATGGGATTGAAATAATGTATTATTTTAATGTCTTTTTTTTTTGCATAAAACATTCATAAAAAAATTGAAGTCTCGATCAAAATCAAACATTATTAAACTTGGCCTTAATTTATATCTAAATAAATTAGCTAGTTAGCATAACTTTCCCCTACCATCACACAGATTCTCAAAGAAATAATATTATACATGAGCTCGACTTTTCCGGTTTCCTAATCAAACCCGCCCCATCCCGTTTGTTTCCAGGCTCCATCATTTCAAATGTTTTGCCGCCTACAGGGCGGCGAGGCCGCCCTAAACAACCAAGAAAAGAGAGAACCCCGATCCAAATCGGAAGTGACATCGTCCAGAAGAGGGATTCACATATCGCAACCAAAAACATTACGTACGGATAACGGAATAAGCGTTCGGAAAATGAAGAAAGTGAACTTACAAGGACACTGAATCCAGTAACGCTGGAGAGTGAAGTGGCAATGGCGGAGCTGGAGAGCGCGAGCTCACCGAGATGTCCGACCATCATCGACGAGGTGACCTGAACCAGGTACTGCGATAGCGTCACCCCCACCATCGGCCCGGCCAGGTAACCCAGCCTCCGCGCCTCAGCTGTAAAATCACAGTACCATCCCCTCACCGTTCTCCCCTCCTCCCTCTCCAAAAGCCCTTCCTCCATTTCCGTAAGCTGTCCCTCTCCTCTTCGTTTCCCTTTTTCTTAGATGACCGTCATGGTAGCGCCTTCTGTGTATTTATAAAATTAGCGGTGGAACGAATGGTCACGAGGGAAAAACTCGCAGCCTCTCTTAACAACATCTGATTGGACGTCCGCTGTCAGTATATATATATATATACATTGTATATATATATATATATATATATATATAATTTTGGCACTAGGAGATGGTTGATTTGTATGTGATAATTTTTTAATCTATTTTTAAAAATAAATTTTTAGTACTAAAAATTTTTAAAAGTAGTAAAAAGTAGTGGCGAAAAATTGCCTCAAATGAAACTTTTTGTTTGGAACAATTTAATAATAAAAAAATTTCTTGTTTAAAAATTTTTTATATTAAAAAAAGAGTAAAAAACGATCTCAAATGAACTCTAAGACTATGTTTGGGATGTCTTTCTTAGTACTTCCTAAAATAGATTTTTAGTATAAAATTAAAAATTCTGTATCAAAAAATAACTTTAAGAAACAGTAAAAAATCGTCCCAAATAAAATATTAAGATAGCTAAAATAAGATTGGTATATATCAATTCAGGGGTGAAATAAAAAAAAATCCTAATCGAACCCTAAATTTGCTTGAAGGCCACAATTATAAAGAAAAAAATATTGTGCAAAATCAAATCAAAGTCTTTTCATGTAATTAGAGGAAGCTAAAATTCAAATTAAGGCTTTTTTTACACAGTTTTTTTAATGTTTTCTAAAATAATGTTTTGTAAAAAAAGAAATTTGAATTATAATTTTTTTACTAAAAAATTGCTTTAAAAAAAATAAGAAATATGTCTCAAACTAAATATTAAGAACCTTGACCAAATAAAATTAATTTTTATTTAAAAAATGGATCAAAATTTTCTTTCTAATTTATAGATAAATAGACATTTGCCAATTCATTGCATATACTAATTTTCCAGAAAGCAACAGCCAAATGAAAGAAAATCTTAAGCTATTGATTCCACAGTATTTGACTTTCAAGGTTATCTATGTAATTTTTTTGTTTTTGGTGGTGCTGATTGTCAACTTGATTCTTTTTACTAAAAATACAATTTAGTTAATGGTGCGACGTTTACAATTAAAAAATATATTAAAAAAATCTTTGTATAAAAAGCATATTAATGGCTACGTCCTATTACAATCAATGCTAAATTTCTTTTTGTTTTTATCTCAAAAATATTTTGGAGGATATTTACATAAATAATAATATGTCATCAATATTAATCTAAATGCGTGCATTATAATATACAAAAAAGTTATATATTTAACGTATTTATAGTCGATATATAAAGTGTTTTTAATATCATCGTATTAGTAAAGTAGTTAGAAGTAATTATAATATTTTCATCGGATAAAAAAAGGTGACGATATATCCTAATAGAAAATGAACAAGATGAATTTCAAAGACTCTAGATCTACATTAAGATTAGTGTAATTCTTAAATAATTGGTATTGCACTCATCATAAAGCAAATTTAAAACTTAAAAATTCATCCTAATTAAAATTTTAATTAGAATAAGAAAATTGTCGACTGTCATTACATGACGGCCGTTGGCGATGGCGATGAGTAGCAACAACAACGACGACAAAGGTGGTGGCCATCAGCACGATGCTAGCAAGCAGCAACTGACAAAAAGTGACGAACAACGACAATGCAATTGCGGCTTATTTGGGACGACTTTCTTGCTGCTTCTTAAAGCAGCTTTCTAGTATAAAATCTTAAATTTTTTAACTAAAAAATTGCTTTGAGAAGCAATAAAAAAATCATCACAAACGAAACCTGGCTTGCAATGATAAACTAATTCCAACATGATAAACTCTAACTATTTATGAAGTCAAATTCTCTTGGAAACAACAATTGGTACACATACAATGGCCAATACAGAAGAATCTAAGCTAAGCAACCATGAAAATAATTCTGCAAACTACAATGAAACCAGTAAAACAAAGACTTCCACGCTAAATATACTTTCTAAAGGTAAGAGCGCGTGCCATCATGGTCCCTTTAAACTCCCCTTCTTCATAAGCTCAAATCCCAACTTGCCTAGAGACGATCTCAGCTCACCAGCTAAGCCTCCCCAAGCAAAGTTGAACTCTACCTAATCATTGACTAAAGGTGAAGTTAAGCTTGATCAACTTAAGCCATTGAAGAAATGATTGTTGAAGAATTGTGATGCTCAGACTTCGTTTGGGACGTCTTTTTTTTACTTCTTAAAGTAACTTTTTAATTTTTGTATTAAAAAGCTGCTTTATGAAACAGTAAGAAAGCCGTCCCAAACGAAGTCTCAGTCTATTGTCTTACACTTCTATCTTCTTCTTGACATCTAGAGCTGAATGGTTCTCTTGTTCATCAGCATTGTTAGCTACAGGTGAAGGATGTCCAGCAGGCTGGGCTCCGGCATCTATGTTTATCTTGGATTGTTGAAGAATTGTGATGCTCAGGCTTCGTTTGGGACGTCTTTTTTCTACTTCTTAAAGCAGCTTTTTAATTTTTGTATTAAAAAACTGTTTTATGAAACAGTAAGAAAGCCGTCCCAAACGAAGTCTCAGTCTATTGTCTTACACTTCTATCTTCTTCTTGACATCTAGAGCTGAATGGTTCTCTTGTTCATCAGCATTGTTAGCTACAGGTGAAGGATGTCCAGCAGGCTGGGCTCCGGCATCTATGTTTATCTTGATTTCTAGCTCAGGATCATTCTCATCTTCATCACCATTAATGGCTTCGGGTGAAGGATTTACAGCAGGCTGGACTCCATTTTCATTGCTTTCAGGATGGAAATTGATTGGGAATTTAGTAACACGGGGCTTGTCGGCCAATATATTCCGCTGAACTCGATCAATCAAGACCTTAGTGGGAGGTTCTTCCCTTAGTTGTTCATCATCATAATCATTGTTTACATAGTAGCCTACTCTTATGAACTCCTGGCCAATGTAGGAGCAGGTCAGAAGCAGCACAGTCACACCAAGAATGTCCTCTTCCCGGATCTTTGTAGGGTCTGGTGGATCTGCCTGGAATGCAAAATCAGAAAATGTTAGTCTTATGTAAAGATTTAGGTTTCATTTGGAACAGCTTTCGTACTGTTTTTAAAACGGCTTTCTAGTACAAAATTTTCAAATTCAAGAAACTTTTGTGCAAGAAAACTGTTTTGAAAAAGCAAGAAGAAAGTCATCCCAAACGAAACCTTAAATAAGTTTTAAGGTATTAAGTCTAGGAATTTGCCTGAAACACAAACCGGTAGTTTCCCACATTGACAGGACCAACAAGTACACTCTCAAGAAGCTGGTCATATTTCTCATCCTCGGCAGATCCTACATATATGAGCTTCCATTCTAGATCTGAGATACAAAGATAACTTTTGCGTTAGTTTGTTACTCAGATAAAGTTAGAAGTAAAATTAGGCTCGATGGAATTCATTAAAAGCAAATATTTTTCCACCGCGGGATCGAAGTCCAAGACTCATGGAGGACTTCCACAACGCTCGGTGCTCAAAACACATAACAATAGGAATGGATTAATTTTCACTGATGTTTGGAGATAAAAACTAGATCCTTAATTTTATTTGAGGAACAATTTAAACTGTGCATATTTTCGGAGTAACTCTAATCAAACAGTGGTAGATGTTAGGCCGATTCAACTTGAACCGGCCCAGCCGGCTTACAGGAGGCGGACAAGTGCCGCCTCCCTTCCTTCTTGCCACCCCAAACTAGTGGGCCCCACTAAGAGAAAATCAAAGAGAGAGGGTTGGGCGGCTAGGGTTAGAGGGAAAATTTTGAATTAAGGATGTTTGAATTAATGTATTAATAGTATGGCTTGTTTAGGGTTTAGGGTTATGCATGATTTGAGTTGTACTCTTGGAGTCTCCTTGATGTCTTGGACTCTAGATTCACAATCTAGAGATTGGGAGAGACGATCCTCTTCTCGAATTGAGGATTAATTGTATCTTGCTTGGAGTTTGTTTTATTTTGATTCTACCATTGCAATCTATCATTCTTAGATTGATTTTATCCAGATTTTTCTTATTTTCTTGCTGTTTTGGGCCAATTATTGCAAGGATTGCTTGCAAACTCAAGTATTTCCTCTTGAATTACTTGCGAACTCAAGTATTTCCTATCAGTAGAATCTTGAAAAGAAAAGGTATTGACAAAGGCAGCCTGAAATACTTCCTTCGGGCACCAAAATAGGTACAGAATTACATACAAAATTACTGAGTTAAACAAATGCAGGGAATTATAGCATTCTTATAAGATATTTGCACTCAACTTCCAAAATAAAGCCTTGCCGTAGGTCTCATACTGCAGGAGTAATCCAATAGAAGACAAATTATACTGTGGTTCTAGTTGCATTAGTCATCGTACATGCCAAAAAGGTTCCTATTCCCCACCAAAATATGGACAATGAAAATTAGTTTATTCTGAAGGAAAGCCTACGCTCAACCAACTTTGAGGTTTTTGAAAACTTAGAGTAGAGAAGGTTGCATACATTTTTCAATAAAGAGCCTAAATGAACATAACCTGCCAAGGTATAAATAAATCATCACCGCTCAGTATCTATAGAGCAACCTAAATGAACACTAACACTCCATCTCAAATTAAAGCAAATATATCCATTAGCTCCAGCTTTTTACGTGATTGAGAAAATGGAAGAGATCTCATAGCTTTCGTAAAATACTCAACAGCTTGCTCGTAATAAAATCCTGAATGAAATGAAAATCAACTTCAATATATTTGATTATTTCATAAATTATAAGGATCAATTGAGAATCATAGTTTGAAATCATAAGTTGTATAACAACAAAATTAAATTCTCCTAAAAGAATTTTTACCCACATCATTTTACATGCATTATAGACCATAACTTTATATTTGGCAACAAAATCGAAATCCCAACAATTTGCTTCTTAATGTTACAAGTAACAATGTTACCTACAATAAAAAATACAATACTCAAAAGGTTGAATTCTTGCCTTCAACATTTGACCCAATGGGTATATCAGAATACTTATATGCTTAAATGCTCCATTCTAATATATATTAACCATTTTTTCAAAGAAACTTTTTGATGTACCAATGTACCTTAAAGCCAACCATCATCACAATGTTTCTTTTATAATTTGTATGTGTTGACTCACCGCACTAATAGTGAATGAAATATTAGACCTAGTGCAAATCAAGTAAATTGATTTTCTTACCAATCATTGATATTGAGATGAATAAGGATTCCTCGCTATACGAAAGTAGTTTGAGCATTCATAAGAGTATCAACAAATTTGTATAAAAATTAGTAGCACATTTCCTCCGAAAAAATTAAACCCTTTTTTATGTTGGTAAGTTCAACTCCAAAAAAGAATTTGAACCATCATGGATCTTAAGTAATTAAAAAATTCATTAGTAGGGTTTTATCAAAAGAAAACTTATTAATCACTACTAGTAAAAATTAATCAAGATACATAGTCAATACTATAGTTCTTGAAGATGTATGTAGGAGAGCGAAAAGCGTATCTCGGCAAAAACTTGCAGAATTTTTCAAACTAAATATGTTGGGTTTAAGCTCATGAATGGTCTTTTTGAATAGGCATGTGATCCTCATCTTAAATAACATTACCAAGTGGTTGCTTCATATTAATTGTGTCATTCTGTTAGACAACACTTGAAGAACTCAAGTGAAACCTAACGCACTTGACAAAAACAATGAGAAATCTCCACAAATTCAACGAAAAATCAGGTAAAAACAAAAATTTTATTGCAAGAACACAAACTAACGGAAGAAAATAGCAAGATACAATTGATACTCTATTCGAGAGGAGGATCTTTCCCTCTCAAATCTCTAGACGCTGCTAGAGCCCAAAGAAACTATGAGATCTCAAATATCAGCCAAATTCAAGATGCCCTAACCTTAGAAAAACAAACTAATTAATGCATACAATCCAAAAAAGAAATATCTAAACAGTCCCTACATTCAAATTTTCCTCCTAACTTCCTCAAAAATCATTCGTAAGATGCTCTATTGACTGAAGTGGTTTGGTCGACACGTATAGGGGGGCGGAACTCTTCTGCCTCTGTCCGCCTAAGCCAATCCCGAGTGGACAGACTGGGCCAATTTAAACACATTCAAGTCGCCATAAAAGAAAGGCATTGCTCGCATCTACTTTGCAGCAAAGACCATCCTTGATCGATGGCCACGAATAGGAGATTCGAGCAAAGTTGAGTCAAGCAACTAGAGAGAAGCTGACAAAATAATCCATACTATAATTTTTTTGGACCCTTTAACAACCACCCAATCTTTATAATAATCGAGCAAGTTTATCAAAATAAGAAAAATGAGTTTGTCGAGAAGATGTAGATATTGAGGATGATCTTCATAGTTCTCGAAAATGTTAATTTACCATAAGAGAATTAACAGCTTACACCTAAAAAGACTAATGTATTTCTTTGAGAAAGAGAAATGTCTTCCTTTTATATGTAAACTTGATGCCAAAATAAGGATTTTGACACCCAAATCTTTGAAAAAAAAATTACCTTCTACAAATATTATTTTATTTCAATGATGCTCGATATATATATGACTTTCATTGAGAAGTACGTTATCAACATATAAAACCAGAGTCACTATGCCAAGGAAGAGTATAGAATAAAGATAGAATGATCACTCATAGTATTTCATAATAATGTCAACAAATTATTTTATAAAAAATTTCAAACCAAATATGAGGATTTTTTTTCCCAATCCAAATATAGCTTTCAAAAGCTTTACAAGTTTATCTCCTCCTTAACAACAGATCCAAGAGATTGCTCCATATGAACTAGTTTGATAAAATCCCTATAAAAAGGCATTACTAACAACCATTTAAAATATAATACATCTACATTAATGGCAAATAATTGAAGAGAGCAAACGGAGTTTGTTAAGGCAACCAGTAAAACAATCTCAAAGTTAATAACATGAAGCTGAGTACATCCGTTCACCACCAAGCTAATCTTATAACAATCAATAGAGCTATCATGATGGAACTTAGTGAATACACTTCTATATAAAATAAATTTAACCCTAACATGTGATATAACAAATTCTCAAATAACCATTTTGTTGTCTATAATTTGCTTCCACTTAAGCTCAAAAAAGGCATTTTTATATAGCTTGAAAATAGAAACAATAAACAAGATAAAACAAACCAACGAAAAGAAGAGAGAAAATCAAAAGACATAAAAGATTGTGATGGATGGCAAATGCCTTGGCATTTCCCTTGAGAAGAGAAATTAAAAAAAAAATGTACATCTAATAGCTTAAAGGTAAGTTTATGCAAGTCATAATTGACCAGATGGAAGCTGTTGCAGAAGGAGACAATCAAGACATGCGAGCATAAACTTGAATGAGATGAAAAGAGATAATAGGACATACAAATTTATAATATAATGATCGTAACATTGATAATATTTTTGGGTAGGGAAATAACATTTAAAAAATGCATCAAATGATATGAGGGGATAACTTGGCATAGCCTGGGTGAGGAAATAAACAACAAAACATACACGGTTGAAGAGAAAAAAAAAGGTTAAGGAAAGAGTCCACCCCCACCCCCCCCCCTGCTATTTTTACTATTTGACAAGATTTATTCTAAATTATGCTTAAATCCTCTCAAATCTATTTATGTAAGTTTCTGTAGGATTTAAATTTATCATTTTTATTATTTGGCAGGATATTTATGCTTAAATTTTGCTCTAATCAACCTATTATTTGTTATTAACGATATTTAATATTAATAAATATATTTTTCAAATTATTTTATATTGTGCATCATGTTTAAAATGGTGTGCACTGTGTCGTGCGCTATGCGTCATAGCTCTATGGGAAACTTTGCACCGTGGTGCGCTATTGATAAGTATGTTCAAACCAAACATAAAATAGATAAACCTCTGCATTTGTAGTGCACTCAACCAAATAAATCAAAAATATTTTCAATACATTAAATTTACTTTTCACTGTAATCATTTCACTCTGCATTTTTTTCGCAAAGGTAAATAGCCCCTAATAGAAAAGAATATTTAACAAAATGGAAAGCAAACAATAGAGTAGCATCATTAAAAACAAAAGAGAATGTGATTGATTAGGTAGTATGCAGTAAAATATCATCCTTCCAAAATTGCTGAGGAACATGCATATGAATCATTAAGTTGCAAGCAACGTCAAAAAGATGGTAGTTCTTATTCTCAACTACCCTATTTTGTATATATATATATATATATATGAACATAAGGAATGTTGTATAAACACATTCTCAACATTAAAAGAAAAAAAACAGATTATAATATTATATAAATTCAAGAGCATTATTGTAGTGAGCTTTGATGTGAATAAAAAATTATCACGCATTTTTTGATAGAATTGTCTTAATACAATTAAAACCTCACATCAATATTTTAATAGTAGAACCAAGTAATTTTGGAATGTCATCAAACAAGAAATAAAATAGTAAAAAAATAAGATGGGCAATAACATGACTTGGTCATGCATGTCAGAGTGAATTAACTCAAATGGGGCGCTGCTATATAAACACAAAAAAAAGGAAAAGAGAAAATGAAATTTGCTAAACTCACAAGCATCACATTCAAATTTTAAATAAAGGATGTTAAGAAGTGTGAAATTTCAAAGACAATGAGGGTGATTGCTAGGAATCTAACCTTCACACAACAAAAACAACAATAAAAAAGATAAAACATAGGAGAAATTAGCGAGAAAGATGTTTATTTCAGTACAACAAACCAAGATACAAGTTGATCTACTATTAGAGACGTAAATCGGCTCTCCAAAAATACTAGGTGCTGCTAGGAATAACTCCAGGAAAGACAACAGAAAAATACCAATAGCATGATGAAATAAAACAACCTTCTTAACCCTAATATAAATTTTCTTACTTCCCTCCCAATTCTGAATTCAAATCAGTAGCATTTCCTTAAATAAAATTTTCTAACTCCCTCCCAAATCTAAATTCAAATCAGCCCCCATTTCCCTAAATAAATCTTTCATAACTCGCTCCCAAATATGACTTCAAATCAGTCACCTTTCCCTAAATAAGTTTCATAATTCCCTCCAAATTTTAGTTTTCTATGGTAAGGAATTAAAGGTGGATTTTCCCTTTGAGCCCCTTTTTGCCCACCGACAACCCTAGTGGGGGCCACCGGCTTCGTCAATTCATCGATGACCCATACAATAGTATCGTTGATGACGGAAAATGTAGACAAGACAATGAAATCAGAAACATTGAGATAATAAATATCATTAGCTTAAATGTCTTCATCAATCATTTCCTTCATGCTAAAATCCAAAAAGCCATAATGAGGAGGATATTTTTTATTTAGTTATGAGTTTTTGTTGACAATGCATAGGTCAAAGGTTTAGCCGTCTAACAAGTAATTGGCGGGAGAGGATTCATTATAAGGTATGAAAATAATTGTTGGTGGCCTTCCATATGGGGGAAGTATGCTAGAATATAAGACCCAAGACATGCCAATTGAGACAATTGTAGCAAGCCTTGAGGAAGTTATCTCATGATATGCTAAAACAAATGACTAAGTTTTTTAGAGGAGCCGGTCATAATCTTCTTGAGAGAGAAAAACAAATCAAGAATTTGTAGCACCAAAAGTAACTAAAATGAAGTTTGATGTTGTCATATACTAAGAAGTAAGAAATAATGGGATAACCAAATGTGTTCAAACATTGTTCAGGATAATGATTGGTATGGCTTTAATGGCGGCAAGCTGGGAAGGATTTAACCAAAACATCCTTGATTCCCAACACCACCTTGAGAGCGAACAATCAAGATTGTTTGGTTAGAAGTAGGCAGTTGATGGGTAGAGTTTGGTGACCTAAAAATTTTAGGAGAGAGTGATCACAAAATTAAGAACTATGGAGTCAACCATCAATTGAGACAATGCACCCCACAAAGAAAGATATCATAGAAAATTTTGGCAATAAAAAATTCTTCATTTTGTTTATCTCAAATAATTAGATTAGCAAAGGGAAGGTAATGAAATAATTCGAGTCTGCATATCTTTTTGATGAAAAAGAAGTCTCAAAATATAGCATAAATATGAGATATATTCATTTCTTAAAGTATATGAAGTAAAACTAAACCCACATATTTGACAAAGTCCTAACACAACAATTGTAATAAGAGAAGGTTTAGAACTATTTAGTAACCATATAAAAAAAAGTATAATCGAATGCTTAACACTTTTAAAACCTGATAGTATCAAAGCTATCTGGAGGTGACACATTAATGTGATGGAATTTCTCATGAGAACAAACAAGGAAACAAAAGGTCCTCGATCAAATGAGATAAATAGTACTAGCGAAAAGATGAATTACTCTTTCAAATAAGTGTGAGAAGACATGACACCATTTGAGGAGAAAGAAGATTCATGCAACATAAGTTGTGCAAGTCACAAGTTTCTTAAGCCCTAAGCATTCAAACTTGTATGGTGAGTATGATAATGAAAGTCATAGTGATAGGAAACAAAAGGAAAACAGGAAAATATTTGCTGAAATCAGAAATTCTGCGGATTAACCAAGGAGATTTTTAGGTTTTTATGGATGAAAACACAAGAAAAACACTATGGATTGGTAGGAGATGAAAAGAAATAGCAAAATACTAACGATCGTCTATTCAAAAGGAGGATCAATCTCTCTAAAACTTTCTAGACGCCGCTAGAGCCCAAGACAACAAAGAGAACTTTTGAAATTACAAGTAGTTGGGCGACATGGAGAAATTAAAAAATTGGTGATTACCTATCATAATAAAAAGGGCATCTAAATCTACAACTTAGGATGTACCAACAAAGGAAATTGTAGCAAATCAAGAAAATAGATGGCATAAGATGTTGAAAAAGATGTTTGTGAGTGCTGAAGAAATCCATCAAAATCTTTTTTGTAAAATAATAATTGATCTAGAGTGAGAAGCATTAGTAATAGGCACAATTTGATATTATGTACAAAAATAATAAGCAAAACGAGGCAATCGAATTGCTATCAACATTCAGAAGGATAATTAGTGGTTCAACTATAATAAAGAGAGGGTAAGAAACTATGCTTTAGATTACCCCTAGCTATACATTTTGCAGATATAAGTAAAGTTTGTCCTATCACATATTTGAAATTCAGAGTGACTGGCGCTTTTGAAAACATCATCAACAACTTGAAAGTATTTTTGCATTACATTCCGAAATATGTCCGGAAATGGGAAGGTAGCATCACGTGCTCAAGTTTCCACTGGTTCGGAACATATATCATCAAAATGATATAAAAACACAAACACACTTGCAGAATCAACAGCCCAGAAATTTACTCATAAACATCGGATCAGCCAGCAAAAGAAGAATTTATTGTCTCCTTGCTCGCAGTACAAGCTGTATCATTCCAGTACAAATCTAAAACTCACCAAGGTCTTCAACTCATACTTAATCAAAACTCACTAGAGACCATCCACCCGAGCACAGTAACCAGCAAATCACAACATATAGAAAATCCCCAGGCATGGGCAATTTCAATGACCTGCCACATTTCGAATGCAAGCAAAATAATCTCCTACATAGCAAATGCAGCCAATTTGACCGCGTTTGTTCTGTGGAAAGAAAACTCCATAAAACTGAAATCACTCATCACCATATATCATTTATCGTTCCTTCCAACACGATACACATGACCTCCAGTGCACAAACATATGAACAGGAACGTATTCATGCCCTAAAATGACCGTCCTAATCGGTTCAACCAGGCTAAAAACAAACACAGCATCAATAGAAATCGCACAGAACCGGCATAAGAAAAAAAAAAACACAGCGAATGATATCCGCACCGTCCGTAAGAGGCACTAGACACTCGTAGGAGATCTCAAACTGGAAAGGGTTGAGGAATGCCGCCGGATTGTCGAGAACTGCCACGTTAGTTATGTTCACTGCACTCATGACCGAGACCTTCGATCGAGCAAAACCCTAGACTCTGTCGAACGTCGGGTAAAGGAAAAGATTGGCAGCTTAATTACATGGGATCAGAAGGCGGGAAGAGGAGAGGAAAAGGAGGGATCTTTTTGGGACCCTAGCGAAAGGCGGTCGCCTGTATTTTGGATTTTAAATTCTGCCGCTCCCAGCGACCCCGGTGTCGGTGAATTGCTTGTGAATTTACCAAATTGATTGTAGGAAGCCTCGAGTAAAAAATCTGGGTTTAATAGGAGATATGTACACATTTATTTATTTGGATACTATCAAAATAATCGTAAAATTTTTTGGTGCATTAATATTTATAGCGAAAAGAGAGTTTAATTTTTTTTTTTATTATTTTAGAAGGCCGATAGAAGTTTTTGATGATTAGAGGAATTGTGGTGATTGAAAGATCGTATTCTAAAAAAATATATATCAAAATAATATCATAGTAACCAATAATGCTCAGAAGATAATAATGATTGTAGGCTAAGCGACGGTCGTAGAATGACCATTATTTAGTAGCAGTAGTAGTTAGAGGTCTGAAGTCAAGCTATTGTAGTTATAGGAACATTACTCCTATGATGACACTCTAATCTTCCCTCGAAAAACTAGTCAACCATCCTTGTCTAACATATTGGGTTTGAAGGGCCATGGTTCTCTAATTTTTCCGGCATAAAGGGTGGTAAAATTATCCGATAGAAATTTAAAAATTGCTGGAGGCAATCAAAACTCTTAGGCTTCGTTTGGGATGACTTTCTTATTGCTTCTTAAAACAGCTTTTTAGTACAACAAATAAAATTTTCATGCTAAAAAGCAACTTTAAGAAGAAATAAGAAAACCGTCTCAAACAAAGCCTTAATCTTCCTTTAAGAAAGGGGTTGATTGTCCTCCCCAGACATATCGAGTTCAGAGGTAATTAGTACTTTCAATCTTTACAACAACATTTCATTCTTCCCTTTAAAATGGTGTTAATTTTTCTCATCGATCAAATCAAATTTGGAGGCAATAAAAACTTCTTAGTCCCAAAGATGAACTTTGATCTTCCCTCGAAAAGGCTTTGATTATCCTTATCAGTTACCAAGCACATTAGATTCAAAGACCGTTAAAGACTTTCACTCTCTTATGATGAGACCCTAATATTCTCTTGAACTAGGTTTTCACCAACCTCATTTGATTGGCCAATTTTGAAGGTATACAAAATCCGAACAAAACCCAATTTTGCACTTCTCAAAATTTATACTCTAACATGCATGAATTGGCATTGGCTCTAATGCATTATAATCATTTGAGAAGCGATGCAGCTGAGAAAAAAAATTTTTTTTTTGAAATATTATAATAATTCTCAAAGGATAAAAGACAGCTGAGGGAAAAGATACAAATTTTACAAAAATCAAATATATCCTCTTTTATTAAGACACAACCTCCTTGGACAAAAAAGATAAAATTAGTTTCTGCATGAGTTGGGACGTCAACTTCGCATTGGAAGATATGAAATTTCACGGAAGTCTTAACGGATCCATGCTATGCGGGGAGAAATTATTCTGTGTGATCATCGAGCGGTCCATAGACGAATCAGAACGCACCATGTCAACCAATACTGAGGGGTACATAACAGCGGTACACAACAAAAAAATGACGTAATATTTTCTCATTCGATTCTGGACGCCATTTGGCGACTGCACAGAATAATTTTTCCTATGTGGGAGCATGGAGTCTAGAGAAGATGGGTCGAATAGCAGATTTAAAATTTTCATAAAACATTTTCTCTGAAAACTTCTCTGCACGTTTTCTTGCAGTTGCCGCTATTTCAAGCCTTTCTGCTTCTTTCAGCCTCAGGACTTTGAGAATGGCATCAGCATATTCTTCTTTGTTTGAGGCCAGAAATCCTGATGGCTTTCCATCTTCTTCAAGAATGATGTCCATTCTTGGCCCTGCTGAATTATGAGCTGCAAAATTGAGAGATCACATTTCAAGAACAAATTTGTGTTAGGAGCTTCTGATGCATTTTTTCGTATCCAGCAAAGCGCAACATGATAAAAAATAACATTTAGGCTTCGCTTGTGACAGCTTTTTTGCTGCTTTCTAAAACAATTTAAAAAAATTATTTTAGAAAGCACTAAAAAAGCAATCCTAAATGAAGTCTTAATCAGAAATACAAAACAGGAAGATTTTGCTATGATTAACTATGAGTTCAAGTGCCATTTTATTGCATAGAACAGTTGCTTGTAGTTTTGACATAATTTATTTGTATTTTTGGTCAAATGTATTTCTATTTTGATCATTTGTCTAACACTATTGTACTTTAAAAATATTTCAGGAGCTCCTCCACATAAAAGCATCAAGAGCTCCCAATGCCCTTTTTTCCCAAATTTCGGTACAACAAAGAAACATTTTATGTAACCATAAAATAAGGTTGAAAAACAATCTAAATGGTGTCCCTGAGGGTAAGACTGATTCCACTTTTTTTTTTTTTGGGGGGGGGGGGGGATTCCCCTTTTTTTTTTTTTTTGGTGGGAATTTTTGGGGCCTAAGCCCGTATCATTGCTAGTTTTTCACGAGAGAAAAGAAAGCTAACCCCAATGGCAAGAAACAAAAACCAAAAGGGGGAGGCAGCAACTATCGGACAGGTACAGCAAAGAAAAACCTGTAAGGAATCAAAAACAGAACCAGCATACAAGAGCAAGCAAAGGGAAGAAGAACCCAAAAAGGACTCAGGCTGCAGCCAACATTTAGGCTCATACAAAATTCATCAAGAGCGATGCAGAAGCCCCTGTGGTTGCCAGCACGACCATCCAAGGAGATAATCATATAGCAGCAGTCATCATCGTCCTTCAAAAAAACCATTTCAGCGGCGGCCCCTGGTTGCCGTGAAGGCCATCCAGGTACAATGTAGACCCAGCAAATCCACAGAGCATCACCAGAAACAGAAACAACAGCCCTATCCAAAAGCAAGTCATCAAGATTACACCACCAATCCAGGAAAAAAAGAGGCAACCAGCAGCGTCCAAGGGCCAAAAAAGCAGCCCACACCAAAACCTCAAGCAAGATGGTGCCTAAATTTATAGCCATTCTTCCAGGATTTTGTTTTGAAGAAAACCGCTCTTTTAATCTTTTTGGCAATTGTAGTTTGGCAATCAAAAGTTTTACCAAAAAGTCTATCATTTCTAGCACGCCAAATAAAATAGATGGAGACACTAATAAGAAGGTAGAAGAAACGTTTCAGCTCTCTTTCCACCTCCAATTCCTCAATAAAATTATAGGCTTGGTGAAGGTTAGGCGACAAAAGGAAAGCATGACCACAGGGAATGAGCCGTTTAAGAATGTCAAAAGTGTAGTGGCACTCAAAGTAAAGATGCGAGTGAGATTCCATATCCAAGTTACAGAATTTGCAAGATGCTTCCGCCAATAAACCCTTCTTAAGGAGTGCCTCAGCAGTTTTTAAACCAGATTTGAAGGCTAACCAAGCATAAGTAGCAAATTTGAGTGCATAGCCCTTGTGACAAACAAAAGAGTGCCAGTTAACCTTAGGGTGGTGAGAGAAAAACTGTTTAGCAAAGCTTTAAGTATCCGGTTTATCAGAACCCAACCAGAGAGCACCAGAGTTCAAATCAGCAATAGTATCAGCTGGATAGCATGAGCCAGAGCAGTGGGGGCAGAGGGAGGTAAAGCCCAGGCCCCATTATGTATAAAATTCCTAACTTGCCAAAGGGAAGCATCCAGATAGGCAGGTTGGTAAGACTGTGAGCCCCACATATCCATAATAGATCGACCATTACAACATGGGTCCCAAAGAAAAGATAAGGAGCTATTAGCATGAACTTTGAGTGTGATGTTATTCCTGATTTTAGTGGCCACAGGGCACAGAAATTTCCAGTAAATAGGGATACGAGAATTGTGAGTAGACCACAGAGAGTGGTAGTTCCCTTTCCACCAAGTGAAGAGCAGGTTATTGGAATGGAGAAATCTCCATATGACAGAACACCCATAAGCGTGGTAGAGGGAGTCTATGGTAGGAAGACCAATTCCCCCACAATCCTTAGGTAAGCAGGTTATCTTTCCAAGCCACTAGGTGAATCTTCCTTTCATTAATATCACGTGAAAAAAGGAACCTGGAACAGGCTCTATTTATAAGTTTACAGCACCCTTTGGGTACGATGGATCCTCTTATCCAGTATGCAAGGGTATAAAAAATAGTGCATCTCAGAAATTGCAGCCTGCCTGCCAGAGACAGAGATTTGGCCTTCCAGCCATCAAGGGCCCCAAGAACTTAGTAATAAGGGGTTGAAAATCAGCCACATGGATCTTCTTGGTATGAATGGGAAGACCAAGGTATTTTAAGGGACCTTGGGATCCCTGAATATTAAGAATATTACAAATAGAGGATGCAAAATTACAGCAATTAGAGAAAAGAATAGAGCTTTTCTCCACATTAGTGTGCAGGTTGGACACCTCAGAAAACTGATGCAGGATGTTTTTGAGAGTGAGCATTATCCAAATTAGCTTTGCCAAAAACAAGTCGTCAGCATATAAAAGGTGAGTGAAGGAGGTGTTACCAACAGAAAAACTCAGAAATTCCTTCTTAGAAACAGCTTCCTCAAAGCAGGAAGAGAGTCCATCCATCACAATCGAGTAGATATAAGGAGAGAGGGGGCAACCTTGCCTAAGCCCAAAAGAAGAGTTAAAGCAGCCTTCTAAAGCACCATTAATAGCCACAGAGAAATGAATATCAGTAATGCACCCTTTGATCCAAGAGATGAACTGAGGGGGGAAGACTTTATCTAGAAAGCTAGCAAGGATAAATTCTCTAGAAACAGAGTCAAAAGCTTTTTCTATGTCAAATTTGGCGCAGAAAAATTTCTCCTTAGCACTCAAATTAAACTTACCCAAAATGTTAGAAGCCAAGAGGATATTGTCAGAGATAATCCTATGTTTAATGAACCCAGTTTGACTAGGGGTGAATGATATGAGGCATAACATCTCTCATTCTGTTAGCAAGGATCTTGGCGATTATCTTGTAGAAGGTGTTGCAAAGGCCAATTGGTCTATAATCAGTCACCTTGGAAGCATGAGGGTGTTTGGGAATCAAAGCCACAGCAGTGGCCTTAGTATGTTTAGGCATAAACCCATTGGAGAAGTAAGACAGCACAACTTCACAGAGTTGGTTGCCAATCACATTCCAAGTCTTTTGGTAGAAATCAAATGTAAAACCATCGGGCCCAGGAGCAGCATTCGGAGCTGAAGTGAAGACAACATTTTTAATCTCCTCAACAGTAATGGGGGCAACATGGGAAAGAGTGAGGTGCGCAGGAATAGAAGCCCCAACCGGAACAGAGGCATAGGCATGGGAAAAGTGAACATATTTATTAAACAGATCCTTGTAATGATTGATAAATTCCTTGTTGATATCCATGGGGGACGTGAGAACCATGCCATTGGAGGTTAAGCTATCAATCACATTGGCATTGTGCCTATGATTGATTTTCGAGGAACTTAAAATCATCTTCACCAGAGGTAAGACATTTAACTTTACCCCGCTGAATAATCCAGTCTGACCAAAGGTTGAGATTATCAGAGAGCTTGAAATTGGTTTCTTTGAGAGCTTCGTTCAACACAAGGCCAGTAGGATTCAGTTGGATTTGGGCAAGTTGTTCATTTTGAGAAAACTTGAGAAGGTCAATGTCCTTCAACAGGGAGTTGGAGGAAGCACATCTCTTGGGTTTAATGAGATTCTTGAGAGCCTTGAGTTTGTAATAGAAAGAGCAGATATGGCAACCATAGGTCGGTTGGGAGAAAATGGTCAAAATCCCATCCCATAATTCTGGTTTAATGCCCATCTCTTGGTTTTAATGAGCTTGAAATTGGTTTCTCCCCACATAGCATTGATCCGTTAAGACTTCCGTGAAATTTCATATCTTCCAATGCGAAGTCCACGTCCCAACTCATGCAGAAACTAATTTTATCTTTCCACTATTTTTTTAGTACTTGATATTACGGTATTTTAAGAGAAATTCATCCCTTATATCAAAAGTGAACCGCATGGCGGCTATGGGGGTTGATTGCATGAATCCACATCCCTCCAATACCGTGATTGTGCGCTCACATGAGAAGTTTGAACATGCTAGCCCCAAAAAGTTCATTAAACATTTCAAACCAGTCAATTAAGGTTTCGTTTGGGACCGCTTTTTTATTGCCTCTTAAAGCATCTTTTTAGTACAAAATCTAGAAAGTTGCATTAAGAAGCGGTAAAAAAACCATCCCAAACGAAGCCTAAGGCATTGTTTAATACAATTGAATGTTGTGCTTTTATTTCGTTATATAAAATAAAATCAACATACACTAGTTCTATAAGACAAAATTATCATGAAATTATAAAGAAGGTGCTCATGCAAAATAGTGATTTTTTCAGCATGGATTTCATATAAATCAAAAGAATTGTTGAAAAAGGAACAGAACCAAAACTAAATGAAGCTGTTATACTGCCATAATAAAAAAAGATAGCCAGAATTACCGATTGGGATAGCCCCTGCTGCCATATACTCCACCACACTGATGCCAAAATGTTCATCTACCATGGAATGAAGCCCAGCAATAGCGTTTCCCAATAGCTGCACTAATTCGCTGATGGCATATGGTAATCGCAAAGAAGAACAGCAAAAAATAAAAATCAGAACAGAAGGGAGGATAAACACACAAGTTATAACTGATTGTCAAGTTATAAAAATCACACATATATATATATATATATATATATACCCTATTTCGGTTGGGTTACATCAAGGATCAGCCTTAAGCCCATATCTTTTTGCTTTAGTCTTGGATGTTCTCACTAGACATTTGCAAGAGGATGTACCTTGGTGTATGTTTTTTGCTGATGATATTCTTCTTGTTGATAAGACTAGAGAGGGAGTTGAAGGTAAACTTGAATTATGGAGGTCAACCTTAGAGTCTAAAGGTTTTCGCTTGAGTAGATCTAAAACGGAATATATGGAGTGTAATTTTAGTAGTAATAGTCCTAGTGAGGGGATTGTGACTTTGGGCGATCAAGTCATTAATAAGAGTACACGTTTTAGGTATCTTGGATCTATTGTTCAGAGTGATGGTGAAATAGATGGGGATATTATCAGCAGAATTCAAGTTGGATGGTTGAAGTGGCGGAATGCATCGGGCTTGTTATGTGATAGAAATGTACCCCTCAAACTTAAGGGAAAATTCTATAAGATGGTAGTGAGGCCTGCAATGCTTTATGGTGCCGAATGTTGGCCATTAAAAGAGAAGCATAATACTAAGTTAAGTGTGGCAGAGATGAGGATGCTTAGATGGATGAGTGGCTTTACCCTTAGAGATAGGATACGAAATGAGCATATACGTGAAAAGGTTGGAGTAGCTCCAGTAGAAGATAAGATTAGAGAGAGTCGCCTTAGATGGTTTGGTCACATAAAAAGGCGGCCTTCCGACGACCCAGTTAGGAGAGTAGAGGTATTAGATTTGACTTGTGTTAAGAAAGGTAGGGGTAGACCTAAAAAGACTTGGTTAGAAAATATTAGGAATGACCTTTCTTTATTAGATTTAAACGAGAATTTGGCTTTTAATAGGACACAATGGAGAAAAAGGATTCATGTAGCCGACCCCACGTAGTGGGATAAAGGCTTGATGTTGTTGTTGTTGTTGTTGTTGTTGTTGTAATTGTTTGTATGTTTGTATTGTTTTTTTGTGGACTTAGACCTTACTAATCAAAATGAAAGGCTCTTCTCTTTGTAGAGTTATTAAAAGAATACAATTTTCTTAAAATGGTGTAAAGTGATCAAAAGGAAAAGGTGCTTTCCTAGTGCACCACCTTAGGAGGAGGATCTCTACAGCAATATTTTGAAGATAGAAACATTGGTAGATTGATAATTTGATGCTTATTCTTTTCACCTATGATCATCCTCACCGCAAATAAAATTCTTGCTCTATTTATAGTATCATTAGCCAACTGGTATCCATATGAGTATATGACTAATTTATTTCCTGTACATTCTTCAAGTTGTTGTGAGAAGGTTCTTCACCAAAAGATATAGAGGTCAAATTTTAGTATTATTCCTTTTTTTTCCAGTTTTGTATAGTGGCATTCTCATGGAATTAAAAAAGACTACCCAGTTCTCTAAGCTAGCAAACCATCCAATATGGGTCTAATACAGAGACTGAGAATATCAAGTTGATTGAGTGGATCCAATGTCTAACCAATCCAAAAAACAAATGCCATAAATGAACCAAGTAATTGCATTGTTTTTGCTTCTTTAAATCATAATTCTCATCTTCCAAATGTATAGGTTCAACTATATGCATGAAAAATGAATATAATATGCAATACAAACCTGTACTTCACATCCTTGTAGAATTCCACATTCTTTTCCATGCCAAGCTCAGATGCTCTAACTTTCAATTTTTGCAATCTTTCTATGTCCTCCTTATTCCGACAGCTTCCAACAAATTGTAGCTTCGGTTTAGTCATGTCTGGTCCTAGTCTATTGACAGCAAGTGCAAATGCTTCAAGTTGAAGACCATGAGCCTGTCAGAAGAATCAAGTAACAGTGAGATAAATTGATAATTAGTTAGATGTGTTCATAACAGCTCAAAATATCTTAGATAAGTGTCATCAACACACCTTTTCTGGGCGGAACTGGGCAACAGAAACAAGGATAGGTATCCCAGAAGGTCTTTCCAATGGCAACACCTATATAACAACCACAAGGACGTTCCATGAGAGCACATTTCAACAAATCAGACTCCATAGAAAGCTATCTTCAAAGCGGGTACATAAACCCAAAAAAAAAAACTTCTGAATTTCTTCCTAAACGCATAATTATCTTAGGTAACTCCATCAAGATGCTTATTTCAAAACATAACAAAATACACCATCAAGTTGCTTCAAAATAAACTACATTTCTAGATATAGAAAATTTTGTTCGATAAAGAATCAAAACAACACAACAAAAGCAAATAACATCTAAGTCAATTCAAGAGAGGAGCAATTGCGAAAGGCGTTATTGCGTTGCTAGTCAAACAACAACAACATCAAGCCTTTGTCCCACTACGTGGGGTCGGCTACATGAATCCTTTTTCGCCATTGTGTCCTCTTAAAAGTCAAATTCTCATTTAAATCTAATAAAGAAAGATCATTTCTAATATTTTCTAACCAAGTCTTTTTAGGTCTAAAAATAAAACAAGGTCTAAAACACATACCTGAAGGGCAGAAGTATCACAAGGAGGGTACACCCTCTTAATACGTGCAGGAATCTTCCATATCTTCTCAATGTGAGATCTTGTCCAAGAGGAATTTACCATGACAAGATGTGCACAGGATCCCACGAGGCCATACAGCCAACTAAAGAGTATGTAGTAGACAATCTTACAACGAGATAGCCAAATGCTGCCCTAAAAAAAGACTTGTAAGCTGAAAGCTATCTGCAGCAGTGAAAAACAAATGGGTGGAAAGATATATTCAAAAAATAAAGATCATAAAGCAATATATTGCAGGTTAACCATTACAAACCTCCTGCCCAGTATAGATAATAAATGATAATGCAATCAGAGCTAATTAAAGGAACACTATTGACCCATTAAAATCAGTTAGGAGTTGTCACAAAAGACAACATAATAAAGCTTCATATTCTAATAGTTCAAAACAGCAAACAAAATTTCCAAAGATGACATTAATCATAGTGTATCGTTAAGTCAGCATGTTAATGCAGTTAACATACCTTTTAGCCACAAGAACATCATTATTATACATTGAACTGTGTTGACGAACACGAGAGACCATATCTGAGCTGATTGTTGGGTAATGAGTATAACAAATAACTTTGCAACCAAATATCCGAGCAAGCGGATATGTAAAAGCATAGCCGCTGGTGTCAAAATAGTATTGAGGGGTAAATTTACATAAGGCCTCCCAAGAGAGAAAGACAGAACCTAGACTTTGCCCAATCATAGTGAAACGGGGATAGGATTTCTCATCTACCCACTTCCTTTTGTACAAGCGAACAACCTACGTGAATAGCAAACCACTATGAGAAACTGGATTCAGATGACAGGAAAGCAAAGCACATCATGGCATAGTTTGAACAATTTCTTAGGGCATCTCCAACCGAACTCCAAACACATGAATGATATCGCTCGCAAGCTCCAGCTAAACGACAAAAATTCCGGTATTTGGTTGCGGGTGAATAGTGCGACGCCAATATTGGCGTGGCACTGTTCACCAACGTTATTTTTCTGTCTCTACTGGATTTGCTGAAGAAACGCGCGAAATAGGAGAAAGATGGTTACCTTTTGCAAAGGGCGTAAAATGGAGTTCGATTGGAGATGAATCACGCCATTTTTTAGTTTCACTGTATTTTGGAGTGAAAAATGAGATTTTCGGTGGGAGATGCCCTTAGGTAAAAATGAAGCTTTAACTTTCTCCTTTGGTTTAATAAAATGGCAAAAAAAAGTGGCAATTAAGAGATTGAACCATGAAGTTGGAATCAATACATTCTTTACATAACACTATCATGTGACAAAACCAAGCGGCGAAGCTCAAAAATCAATAAAGCAACAAATATTACTAACATAATCTTTATGAAGGATAAATGCATTCCAAATTAGACAAATGTGGCTTAAGCAAAAAACTAATCTTAAAATCTGAAGAAAGCAACAAAACCTTGTCAGATGCTTTCAGGTAAATAAATTACAACGAACTCACCAAACTGGCTAGATATGCCAAGCTCTGAAACAAATAGTGAAGTCATATATATAATTGATACACACAAAAAGATTATCAGATCATCATCAGTAGCCTCATCAAAATTGGTTAGGCCGACCTTACCAATCATGCATTGAAATTCCCTCTGGCTAAGTATCGGATGTAATGTTAACCCTAATTGGATGTAACATTGACACTAATTAATTCTTGCCTTTTGCATACTAAATCTAGCTTGATCTAATAAATATGCATGAACTAAACAACTCTTCGATTATAAAGATTACATTTTTCAAGCACAGAAAGAGTGAAAAAAATAATCGTCGTTCTCTAAAATATATTTTCTATTACAAGCAACCTAATGATGCCTGAATAAAAATAATTTAGAAGTTCAAATAAATGCAACAAGAACTACGAGACATGTGATCCTGTTACACTGCATGAAAGACATCCAAAAATACCACGGATTGCGAAAATCAATCCAATATAAAAAACAGAAGTAAAACATCCACTTTTGAAACCGCTTCAGGGCTTAGTAAGGGGATTACGTACGATAGGCGGGTGAAGGAGGTGGACGCCAAATCTGTCAAGCGCCCTGGCAGTAAGAGTTTCCGGTGAGGCATCATCACCGGTGTAGATGATGCAATCGAGATCGGGGTTCTCATCCTGCACTGCTCTAACAGCGCACCACAGTACGCGTTCCCCGCCGCCTCCGTCGTTCGTGTACGGGTGGAAGAACCCAACAGCACATCGCCGCCGCCGCAGACATGAGATCACAGTACCAACAATGGAAGCAACGATGATGGCGATCGCACTTGATAGAAAGGAGAGTATCCGTATCCAGATCGCCATGGATTGGCTGGCCGGCGAAAGGGAGAAAGCTACCTTCACAGCGAGCGAGTTCCCGTTGTTGCTTCCGATAAAAATGTTGTAACTTCCGACAAAGTAGACGAAGGAGCCGAAGAAGCGACTCGTGCAAATCTCTACTCCTGCGGAACGCAGCCGAACAGCAACAACGATAAAGAAGAGAAAAAGCAAACCTAGGGGCTGTTTGGTATCGGATTTATGTTGGGATTTAAGTCGGCTTTACGCTAAATCCAGCCAAACGGTCTTTGTGCGGGCGTTAATTCGGGATTTACGGCTTAAATCCCGGATTTACTAAATCCCTCGGTTCGGTGGATTTAACGGGATTTTGCCGAATAAGCGCGCGAAAGGGAGAAAGCAACCTTCACAGCTAGCGAGCTCCTGTTCTTGCTTCCGATCAAAATGTCGTAACTTCCGATCGGACAGGAGGTAAAGTCGTAGAAGGAGCGAAGTCGAATAGCCAGGAAGCCGAAGAAGCGACGCGTGCAATCTATACACCACCTGCAGCAACGAAGCCGAGCAGCAAGGACGAAAAGAGAGGATGAAAGGCAAACCTAGACGCCTTATGTTATTATTGATTAACTTAATTAATATAATTTAAATTATTAATAATTAAGTAAACTAATTAAATAATTAATTGTATAGTTAGTGCATAAATTAATTATCTAGATTTAACTTAATTGTATAATTAGTAATTAATATTAATATAATTAGCTTAATTACTATAACTTAATATATATACTTACTCAATCCAAAATCAAATTGGAACTAGGTTAAGACCTCTCAGGTCCTATGTCACAATTCACAAATCGGCAATTCGGCGCCCGATGCTGTTGGCAGCCGCAGGTCGCAATTGTGTGGCCGCTCTGACACGTGCACACCGCCGTATATCCTACTCTGCAACTCGGCGTGAAGCCGCCATGCCACCTCAGGCCCAACCCACGCTGGCTGGCCTTTCTTATTAGGATCGTTCGGTGTTTGCAATTTACATTTTGCATGTTGGGTCCGGATTCACAAATCTGACCCGTTTGCAAAATCAGGTCGGATTAGTGTCAACCTATTTACTATCGGGTAAAGTCCGATTCGATCCGAACCTAACTCGTTGATCCTAACTGACATCCTTACCTTAAACAACTCTAAGTTATATGGTTAACAATATTAATATAATTTAAAATATTAATAATTAGTAAATTAATTAAATAATAAACAATATGCTTAGTGCATAAATTAATTATATAATTTAACCTATTTAAATAGTTAGTTATATAATTAGAATTAAAAGTTACATAATTAACTTAATTAA